TTTTTTTTGAAAAAGTTTGATAAAGTTTTTCAAATTTATTTTCTGTACAAAACAAAAACTTGCATTCTACATTAATTTGAGCAGTGTAGTTGATCTGAGTTTGTTTATTAAAGTAAGATATTATGTTTGTTTATTAAAGTAAGATATTATGTTTGTTTATTAAAGTAAGATATTATGTTTGTTTACAACCTGTCAGATGTTTAATTAAACAACTTTTATCATTAAAAATTTTTTTCAAAAATTGTTCTTTAAAATCAAGATTACAACTTATTTTTTACTTTCAATTTTTTGAAGCAAGCATGGTTTTAAAGAATTTTAAAATGTTTAATGAGCATTGTTTGTTGCGATCTCTTAAATATTTTATTTGCATAAATGTTTTCTCTTCAACTTTGAATATCATATGCAGGATTTGAATAGCATATATAGGATACTTAGGCTTTAAATAGCATATGCAGGATTTTTTTTTTTTTTTTTTTTTTCCATGAGAGGAAAAATAGTTGACTTTAAAATTTATACTGGAAGATGACAATAGATGACAACTTTACTTTTTACAAAAATAAATAACTTTAAAAAAAATAATAACTAATAGTTAAGACTATATCCCAAAGTATAAATAAAAATACACAATTAAGTTTAATTAAGTTTTGAGCTTTAATCACTTGTAAATTTTTTAATTAAAAAAGTACATTTATTTTTTTTATTATTGAATTTTAATTTTTGAAATTTTTCCTTCAATTTTTTTTTTTTTTTTTAACATCTTCACTTCCAACAAGGCTGCAAGCAACCACTATAAGAGTTGGAAGTTACTGGAAGAGAAAAGATTAAATCTGTAGAGCAAGATAACGATTGACTGATGACTTAAAAGATTGCAAATTATATGAATCAGGAAAGCAAGATGAAGGAAGCGAATTCCAAAGAACTGATGTTCGAGGAAAAAAACTAGAAGAATAAGAGTTTTTGAAGCACTTAGGAACAGTCACAGAAAAAGGATGAGACTTAATTGAATGGCGAGTAACACGAGAATGAATTTTAGTAGATGGCACAAGGGACGCTAGCTCTTTAGAGCAGTGCCCATTATAGTATTTGTAGAAAAGAGAAAGAGAAGCAACATTACGACGATGTGACAAAGGTTGGAGATTGGCTGCCTGAGCAGGTCCAACTATGATTACAATTCGTTTTTGCACCTTGTCTAAAAGAGAAAGAGCATCATTAGAAGATCCGCCCCAGATGTGGCAACAGTATTCCATACAGGGACGAATTTGAGATTTATAGAGATAGAGAATAGAATCTGGAGTAAGAAAGTGTCGAGCTCGATAAAGAGATGTAACCTTAGCAGATGCTAATTTTGCAATGGATTTGATATACGGTTCAAAAGAAAGATCAGAAGTAAGAGTTTATCCTAGAAGATGAATGGTAGATGACTCATCTAGTACATTACCATTCATAAATATAGGAAGATCTAAATTATTACGATAGCGATTGGCCGAATAAAATTGAGTTTTATCTGAATTAAAGTTCACCAGCCACTGTGAGCCCCATGCTGTAGCAGAAGAGAGATCCTTTTCAAGCTCAGATACCCCCTCCAAGCAATCAGAGAGTGTAGGCTTCTTATCATGACAAGAGTAAATGGTAGTGTCGTCAGCGAATAATGCCACCTTAGATGTGAGAATATCTGGAAGATCGTTAATGTAAATTAAAAAGAGTATAGGGCCAAGGATTGAACCTTGAGGAACCCCTGAAGTTACAGGATGTGAAGAAGAGTGTTGTCCATCGAGGACAACTTTTATACTACGATTGGAAAGAAAGGACTCAATAATCTTAAAGACGTTACCAGCTACACCATAAGAAGAAAGCTTATGGAGAAGACCAGCATGCCAAACTTTATCAAAAGCTTTAGAAATGTCAAGTGCGATAGCCTTAACCTCTCCACCTCTATCTAATGCACGGTAAAACCTATCGGTTATTACTGTTAGCACATCAGCTGTAGAACGAGAAGACCGAAATCCATATTGATGATCAGAAAGTAAGTTATTTGATTCAAGATGAGAGATTAAGTGTTTGTTGATTAAAGATTCAAAAACCTTGCTTATGACAGGAAGAAGACTAATGGGACGGTAGTTAGATGAATCAGATCGCTCTCCAGAATTTTTGAAAATAGGGATAACAGATGCTGCTTTCCAGCATGATGGAAAACAAGACTCTGATAAGCACTTGTTAAATAGTTTAGAAAGTATGGATGAAAGCTCCGGAGAACACCTCTGCAAGACTACAACAGGAATGTTGTCAGGACCACAAGCTGTTGAAGAGTCTAAGCGGGAAATTACTTTAGATACAGAAGCTGAAGTGATGCGAATGTCAAGCAAGGGATCAACCTGTTTGACGGCTATGTCAGGTAAAACGCAACTAGTGGAATCAAGAGATGATATTGATGAAAAGTTCTTAGCAAACAATTCAGCTTTGTCTTTAGGTGAGGTGACAAAGTCTGAACCATACAAGAGAGAAGGAATAACAGATTTGCCCTTATTATTGATACTGTTAAAGATTCTCCAGAAGTCTTGAGAGCCTAATTTTTGTGATGAGATACGAGATTTAATGACCTGGGAATAGCGAGCTTTGGCGTCAGACAAAACCTTTTTACAATGGTTTCTGGCGATAGTGAACAGATGTCTGTTTTCTGGAGAATTGTTTTGCTGATAGATATGGAAGTAACGGTTTCGATTAGAAATTGCAGCAGCGCAATGTGAGGAAAACCAAGGAGAAGAGTGAGGCTTGACCTGGAATCGTCGAGAGGGAATAAAAGATTCCATGCCAGCCTGAATCCACGAAGTTATGTAAGAAGCACATTTGTCAGCAGGAAGATGAAAGATTTCTACCCAAGGGCCATCACGAAGAAAATCAGGGAAAGAGTCCCAGTCAGCTTTAAGGTAGTTGTATGTGGTACGATGATAGGGGGATTCTGATGAAGTAGAAGAATTTGATAATAGTTTTAGAGAGATCAAACCGTGATTAGAAGTACCTAAGGGTGAATGTGGAGAAATTGAGCACTGACTAGGATCCAAAACAAGACATAAGTCGAGTAGAGAAGGTAAATGATTAGGGTTGTCTGGAAAACGAGTTGGAAAGTTGACTATTTGAGTTAGAGATTGAGAAAGGCAAAAGTTGAGGGCCTTAACGCCAGCAGAGTCACTGACACTAGAGCCAAGCCAATCGGTGTGATGGGCATTAAAGTCACCAACAACGACGATATTGGCCGATGGATAAAGAGAGAGGGCTTGGTCAATTTGATCAGAAATAACATCAAGAATAGTGCAATCTTGGGATGAAGGAGAGCGATATAGAACAAAGAGAAAGGCGATAGAGTGAAGTGGTGCTAAACGAAAGCACATAAATGAATAGTCTGTAGAATCAAACCTAGTTTCACGACAAATGGGTGAGTTCTTACGAATGTAGATGCCCAGGCCAAGCATGTGATTATTGGAGTCTTTACGAATTAAAGGAAGATAACTATCAACACTAAGATCACAAGATGGGACCGCCGAACTCAAATTAGTCTCACAAAGAGCAAGTAGGTCTGGTGAACTTTGCAAGAGATAAGACTCAACAGAAGAAAAGTTACTTCGAAGACCACGAATATTAGTAAATGAAAGGTTTAGAGAACTTGGTGATGACGATGGTTTTTTGTGTTTTTTAGTTTTAGGTACTTTAGTCATTTTAAATTTATAAAGAACTTGACTCAAGTATAGATAGTACTCAGTACACTATTTAACAACTAAGCAATAGCCTCATTACTATTAATAAACCCTAAGCCGTAACAAAGGGCTCCAAATGTGGCCTCTGCAATGCACACCAAAAGTACAAACAGGGACACCATTCATACATAACATGGCACTGTTAGTACTCTGATATTTTTCGGCTGTTGATGGAATCCGCCTCTCTGAGAGCTACCACAGAGTTCGGGAAACCTGACTACCAGCCGGCCTCAGAACCATAAAACTGAGTTTTAGAGCTGTATCCTCATTAGGAGATAATAGAATGAGTTGCCCAGTCATAAAAATAGAGACACAAGCAATACCCACGCATTGAGTCAAGAAGATCCAGCGTTCAACATCCTAAACTGGAAACAATGTATTAAAAATACATCTGTGCCAGGCTAATAGATGAGGAAGGGGTGCGAGGCTGGTCAACAGATAGAATCTGTTTACCCCTTAAGTCTTTGCCTAGGAGGCCTTCTACAAGACAGTAGCTGGATGCATGTAACATCTGCCCAAGATGAGTATTTTTATCAAGACACCATCTCTAGCCTTTACTCAACCAAGAGCCCCAAGGCAGGGGGTGTTTTAATTCGGAGTTAACTTCTCCTAGCCTTTGCCTAAAGAAGCGTATCCTACAAGGCAGCAGGACATGGAGCAGGTTGTACTGGGTTACATGTTACCAGTAGCAGGAAAATCTGACCTGACCTGAAATTCAGCGATTTGTAATCAAGTAAAAAAAAATGATGATTCACATGATATAAGTATTTAACATTTGATTCACATAATGTTAGTACATAACATTTAATACATGTTAAATATGTATCAAATGTTATTTTTAAAAACTGTTCTCAAGGAAACTTAACAATCAATACATTTAGTTACAAAAGTTAGTTTACTATTAAAACTAGAAAAATAAAAGATAACATAAAACTTTGCTTATACTTAAAACTGACAAGAAGGAACAAATGTTTACGTTTGTTTCTAAATCTTAGAAATAACATGAGAAGTGTTTTATATATATATATATATATATATATATATATATATATATATATATATATATATATATATATATATATATATATATATATATATATATATATATATATATATATATATAGAGAGAGAGAGAGAGAGAGAGAGAGAGAGAGAGAGAAAGAAAGAAAGAGAGAGAGGGAGAGAGAGAGAATAAATTTATATTTATATACACACTAGCATTGTAATTTTCTTATTTCTTTCTCTATTTAGGTTTATTTGTTGGACTATGGACTGGCTTACAGGTATGCTCCTGATGGCAAACATGTTATGTATAAAGAAGATCCTAAACGAAAACATGATGGTACAATTGAATACACAAGTCGAGATGCTCACCGAGGTTGTGGTAAGTTTAAAGGATTATAAGTTAAATTTTTAATGTTATAATATTTATAATAAAAAATTATGCTATTTATTGCTGAAAAAGTTTTTTTTTTTTTTTTTTTTTTAATTAGGTTTTAAAATAAACACAGTAATATTAGTTAGTTTTTTCAAAGATTATACACCATACACCATACTTTTAAAATTCACATCATACACCATACTTTCAAAATTCTTTTCATGTTACAAACAATAGGAATGTTCAGAAGCAATATATGAATGTATTGTATAATAAATAGACATTAGAAGCAATATATGAATGTATTGTGTTATACATTACATTGCTTGTTTTGTTCATCCAAAAACAAGAGGTCTTTTCTCATTCTGCCATATTTTCTTTCAAGTCTTTCTTTTGCAGCTTGGTCAATACATAGATTGAATGAAGCTTTCCAATTTTTATAATTCTTTTTATCACCATTAAACATCGGTGTAGAGAATTGTTTTAGTTGCTTTATAAATTTGCAGTGTTTTTCTCTAAATTATTTGCTACATCTTTCATTTTCTTGTTTTTAAATTTGATTAAACAAATTTTGTCATTATCATTCTTCTCTTCATTATCCTCAGATTTGTGATTCGTTCATAGAGTATTTATCCAATGATTACACTTTTGATATTTGGTAATCCGTTTAGGTTTTCGATTCATACCTTGTTTCTTAAAGATTTTTCAGTTCCATTGCACAATATTCATTTTCATGTTTGCATATTTGTTTTCATCCATTCACATTCTTTTGCATATTTATTAATTACTGTTTCAACTTTTCTATTGAGTTTATCGACAGTCTCTTTTGAGTCCAGAAGTTTTTATTTGTTTGACAACTTAACCATTATCTCTCCTGGTGGTGATTATTGATTCTTGATGTGCCTTTGTTAGTCTGTTACTCAATTCACATAACTCATTTTTACATAAGGTTTTCTCAAAAAGCATAAGAATTTGATGTTTAGTTTGTACAAACAATGACTTTAAAATCATTTTCTTATTTTTTAATGCCAATACTTCATTTGCAGAGTTAATTAATCCTTCATTTGATGAATTGAATTCCAATTTCATTTTCCTTTCGCCATTCTTTTGTATGATGAAACTACCTTCTGCTACCAATTATGATCCGATAGCAAATAAAAAATGATCTAATGGCTACCAATTATGATCCAATGGTAATTAAAAAATAATACTGCTTGTGTATTATATTATTATTATTAACTATAAAAACTTTTAATCAGTCGAAATAAATGTTTATAATTCATTTTAATTCCAACATCGTTTTGGTTCCAATAATACACTAAAGGTAATAATATCTTAATGTGTTATATTAAAGTTTTTATAATTCAAGTTATAAAACTTATAAAAAAATTTAAACAATTTTTTAGTTTAAAATTTCTAAATAAATGACTTGATGAAATTGAAAATAAAAATTATTTAATAACAATTATAATAATAATAACAATAATAACAATAATAACAATAATAATAATAATAATAATAGTAATAATAATAACAATAATAACAATAATAACAATAATAATAATAATAACAATATGATAACAATATGATAACAATATGATAACAATAATAATAATAATAATAGTAAATGAAAATGGAAAAATGTCAAACAAAGTTTCAATAGATACATATATAAAGACCAATTCCATGTGATTCCATGCGATTCCATTCAATATTTTCAGAAAATTCAACATTAAGTCTCAATTTTTACTCCACCTAAAGATTTTAATAAATTATTATTATCCCAAAAATTCAATCATCTAATTTCTAAAGATTTTAATATTTAACTTTGCCTTTAACAAAGTATTTTAAAAAACCTATTAAAAAAGCTATTTAAAAAACCATTTCAAAAAATGGTTTCGACCCTTGTTTCTGTTCTGTTGCCAATATGTAAAATGTAAAAAACATTGTCAAATGTACATAAAAATAAAAATATTTTCAAATGTACAAATTATGTTTTTTTCAAAAAAATGTTCTTATTACTAAAGCACAAATCATTTAAAAAGGGGATGTCTGACAAATTTGCTTGAATCCTGCAATATTCTTATATGAGCAGTGTTGGCTGTGTTGCAGATATGATATGCAGATATTTCTCCAAGGACAATCAAAGATTTTATCAAATTGAGACTATTTGATGATAAACACGCTTGGATCACGTTAAACACTTTAGATCATTTAAATTAAAAAAGACATTAAAACAGCCATGATATAAGATGACTTAAAAGAGCAATTCCAGATAGAAATGGCGGCATCAAATGAAAATTGCACACTTGGTAAACTCAAAAAAAAGTTATTAAGATCTAAATCTTTGTAATGTTTTTGTTGTAATGTTTTAAATGCTTTTTTAAATCAAAAATAAAATAAATGATTTTGTGATATGTGTTAAATATTGATGAACTATTAGTTGCATCTTAGAAGTTGTATTTCTAAATATTGGAAATCTATTCAAATATCCTCAAAAAAAAAAGACATGAAAAAATATTTGCGAATATTTTGAAGGATATTTATTCAACTATTGTATTTCGATATTGAATGTTACATATATTTTAAAGTACATATATTATTATTCTTAAATTTCACTAAATTAAGTTTGTGAAGTTGTGTACATGAGAATGTATGCACTTTGCATTTTACACTCGACATCAGCTTTTGCAGGGTCTTCGGCTGGACTTTCTTGGTAACTCTAATCCATTTGTTTTTGAAGTCTTGGAGGTTTTTAGCTTTTTTTTTTTTTACATTGAACCTTAGTTTTCCATCGACAATAGTCTAATATCTTTTGATAGGATATAGTTTGGTAAAATTTGGTGAACTGCAGTGTTTTTAAACTAAATCAACTTTATATTCTGTTAGTTAGTTTAAAGTTGTCCTAGAGTAGTGACATGATGCTAAATCCAGCCAAAATAACAGATTACTTGTACGAGGTCTTAAAAATGGCAAAAGACAGTTTAGGCATTCTTTGATGTATATTTCAGTATTAATTGTTTCTGTAGTTACAAAACAAAAGTTTCTTTCACCGATTTATGCAGCGCATAATCTGCATCAGATTTATGCAGCACATAATCTGATCGCTTTCATCGATAATCAAACCCAATTTTTTAGCACATATTTTTTTATAGAGCAACTTTGAAGAACAAATTCCAACATTTTTTTTCTTCACAAAAAATTTTTCTTTTTATAAGAATGATAGCCGCAATTTCTTTTCACTTTTTAGTGGAAGCTATTATCTCAAATTTATTTGCTAAAGTTCAAACAGAAATCTCTGGATTTCTGTCTAAGGTATCTTTTTCTTTTTTAACAAGATCTCAAAAACTTTTTTTCTTCCACTTCCTGATTTTCTTTTGATTGTATCAGCCTCCTTAAACAGTTTTACAACACTCTGCGCTGTTCTCAAAGCAATCTGTAACTTTTTAGAAAGTGTTTTGTTTGATGAACACCATTTCTAACCAAAAATTGTAAAAAATTAAAACTAATTGTTTTGAAATCAGAAATCTTTAAATTTTGAATAATGCTAATTATTAATAAATAAATGACATTTTAAAATAATTAACTAATTAAAGTAATCAACGGTTTCCACCACATCAGAACACACGCAGATACATGTCTTTTATCTCAAAATAATAGATACTATAAATAGAAACAGAAAGCATGTGCTTGTAGCAGCCCTTCTTCTTTATAACACAATTTTCCCTGCAAAAATTAAAAAGAGTGTTAAATTGTAATTGAACTTTGAATAAATGAGTTTGAGACTGATCGATTGTAATTGGGTAAATAGCTTTTATATAAAGTTTTTTTAAAAACATTTGTTGTTTTTAATAAACTAAGTTATGTAAAGTATTATTTACTTTTTTGCATTTATATTAAAAATGTAAAAAAAAGAAAATAAATCCCTAATAGTATTAAATAGTTTAATATAAAATAATATCGGCCTATGTTTTTATGATAAATTATAATTTTTGTAAAAGATTCCTGTTTCTCTAGTAACTATTTAAATAACCTGAAATGATATTTAAATGACATTTAAAACAATGTATTTGTAAAAAGAAATCAAAAGAAAGTTAATATACTTTAATTTACAAACATAATTTTTCATTTATATAATTTTATGGTATATTTTTTATTATTGAATAAATTTATTGTGTTTTAAAACACAATAAGTTTGTCTTAAAATGTTATTTTGCAATTTGAAAAAAATGATCAGTAACTCAAATCAGTTGACTTGCTATGTGCATTTTTGAATTAGCACTTCTCTGCTCATTCTTTATTTATAATTTATATATAGTTATAAAAAACTATATATGTCTAGTATAATATTACATATTAGACTCAATTGGAATCATCATTTTTATTATTTTTATCTTTTTTTCATTATTTTTATATAATTTGTTTATATTATTTTATTATGATCTATAAATTTTTACAACAAATTATGTATCTACTAAAATTTACCCACTGCTAACTTTTGTTAAAATAAATCATATAGTTTTTGCTAGTTGTATTTTACTTTTAGCAATCCATGATTTTATTATGCTTATTTTTGCATTAATTATTACCTGTAAAATGTTTCACATTTTTCATGTTCTACCTATATGTAAAATCTTACACATCAAGTGTTCTGCTTGTTCATAAAATGTAATATATTTTCAACTATAAAACTTTACACATCATGTTACAACAGATATGTTTCAAGTCGTGTGTAACATTTTATTGATAAGAAAAATTTGACAGAAAAATGTCATGTGTTGTGTACATTTTAACTTTTATGATATATTTAAAAAATGCTATATCAAATATTTTTATATGCACATGTTTTTAATTTTAAAAATAGTTTGTTAGTTGACTTTATACAAAATACAGGTTTGTATTTAGGTTTTTTTTAAAAAAACTCTTTAAAAATTTATATATTTATTGCAGCACCATCTCGTAAAGGTGACTTAGAAATTCTGGGGTATTGTATGGTTCAATGGTTATGTAGTAGGTTGCCATGGGAAGATAATTTAAAGGATAAAAACTTTGTTATGGAAGAAAAAATAAAGTGAGTTTTTTTTTCTTTTAAGTTTTTAATGCTATTCAACATGTTTTTTTATGCAATATATTTTACATCATTATTTATATTATCAATTGTGCAACATTGTACTAAATGTGTAACATTGTACTAATTGTGCAACATTGTACTAATTGTGCAACATTGTACTAATCGTGCAACATTATATTAAATGTACAACATTGTATTAAATGTACAACATAATACTAAATGAATAACATTTTACTCATGTACAACGTACAGTAGGGGTATGACTAAAAAAAATTTTAAAGAATTTTTTTTTGCCGATGTCACCATGAGTGGAGAAATTATATTTACAGACATATACAAAAATATAAGTTTTTTATGTTAATTGTTGAAAAAGATCACCACCACCACCCACCCGCCACATCCCCTCCCCTCTCAAGCTGAAAACAGTTTTTCCTATCTTTTTAGTGCTGTCTTTATGAGTTATAAATTACATTATAGACATACAAAAATGGCCAAAAATGGTCTTGCTTCAGACAAGAATAATAAAGTTTGGGAATCAAATTTATTGAAGTTTAAAAAAGCTAAGACTTCAAGAAGATAAACTACTGTTGTTAAAAGTATTGATGAAATAGATAAATGCCAATGGAGCAGCATATTGTTGATCGGTTTAAAAGTTTGTTATCAAATGTGAAAAGCAGAATAAAGAGAGTTGCAATTGTGGCTAAAGAAACTGAACTACTATGGAGGAAGCTCAATATTTCAATTCTATAAAGGAAGTATGCAGCAGAAAGAAAAATAGAAAATGTATTGAAAAAACTTGACAAAGATAGCTGAAAACCTGGAGATCAAAATTTTACCAAATTGTTTAACATAACTGATGAGAAAGATAAATGATTGAGTCAGGAAGATAAAGAATTTTATATTCAACAAATGGAATATTGTACCACAATTGAAGATACTGAAGGTTTTCATCCAAGATTATTATTGATAATCTTGGATGAACTTTATCAATAATAGTTGATAATACTTTATCAACTATTATTGATAAAGAAACAAACTTCCATCAGCCAAGACTAAAATTTTGTTGAATCGGCTAGTGAAGGAGATCATTCAGAAACTGAAGAGCAGTGTTCTAGCAGTAATACTTAAGCTTAAGATGTTGAAAGTTCGTCGTCATCATCTAAAAGACAAAAAACTAATTCAGTTGTAAGTTTAGGGGTTTCTGCAAAAATTAGTACCAAAAAAGCACATAAAGTCTGCGAAACTCTATCAAAATGGGGGAATTTCTATTCCTACATCAACTCAAAGTGGTGTCTACAAAGGTGTTATAAAAGAAGGAAAAAAGTTGAAAGCAAATTATATGGAGAACTTAAAAAATGAAAAGTGGTCTTTGCAATTTGATAAAAAGTACATAAAGAAAATGAAACATCAAGTAATTTTTTTGAAAAATGAAAAGAGGTTAGACTTGCTGCTCTTGAAAAGGTGAAACAATATTTAATGGGATAAAGCTTGTGCTGAATGAATATGAGCTGTGGCCAGCCATAAAAAAAATTATATCTGACACAACATCTGCAAATACAGGAATAAGAATTGGTGTATTAGTTTCATATATTCCATAAATCTTTTTTTTAAATGGGGGTGAACTTTTTTTGAGATATAGTACAAATGTTCAATATTTGCTTGATTTTTGCATAAAAACTAAATTAAGTATGGGGGATACATGTACAACATTTTTTATATTATTAAATTTAGCATGATGTTTTCATGTAGTTTTCATGTTTTCACATAAAACAGTATTTTTTTAATATTGTTATAAACTGTATTTTTTTTGTATTGTTAATTCATATTGTTTATAAATAATTCATATTGTACCACATAGAACAGTATCTTTCATGTTGTTAATATCATCCATATTGTTTCATATCGAACAGTATCTTTCATATTGTTAATATCATTTATATTATTTCACTTAGAACAGTATCTTTCATGTTGTTAATATCATTTATATTGTTTCACATAGATTAGTATCTTTCATTTTGTTAATATCATTTATATTGTTTCACATAGTATCTTAGTAATTCAGATTGTTTTATATAGTGTTAAACTATATACAGCACATGTTTTTCACAAATTTCCATATTGTTCATATTGTTTTGTTACATATCTCACATTACTTAACATATTCCACAATATTGCATGTTCCACACTTCACTGTATGTTCATTCATGCATGTTCCTTATAAGATAATTTACTTATTGCTCATTTTACAAATGTTGTTCACTTTTTTTTGTTAAAAAAAATTTTTTTAACATTTTGCCTATTGCTAGCATATTTAATACACAATTAAAATGAAATTTTAGATACATGAATGATATACCTAGCTTTATAAAGAAATGTTTTCCAAATGAAAAACCAGGTGTTCTTGTTATTTACTTTTTGTTCCGATTTATTTGTTGTTGTTTTTTTTAATTTTATTTAAAAGGTGATATTTTATTTTTTTTATTAAAATTATTAATATTATTATTTACATATTATGTGTGTTTGTTTGTGTTGTTCTTATAAACTTCAACTTTTAATATAGTTTATCTTCAAGATTATTTAAAAATTATCGCTAACATGAAATATGATGAGCAACCTGATTATCAGAAAATCAAAGACTTATTTGTTGCTGCTTTAAAAAAATTAAACATTGTTGATGATGGAGTTTCTATTCAATTGCCAATAGCGATTTCTGCACAAAAGGTATATTTACTGTTTTGCTTATTTATTTATTTATTTTTTTATGTTTTCTTATTTGTACTTAATTATTATTAATAATTAAGTACAAAAAAGAAATATTCTTGGTATGTTATATATTTCAAAGTTTTTTTTTTTTTGGTAAAGTTTAACAAATCCTGGTACTATATTATAGAAACGCCAAAGTATGACTGAAGACAAAAGTCCTAATAAAAAGAAGAAAATCAGTGATGATTCAAAAGATGTTGCAGAAATTAAATCAGTGGTAAGACTATTTCTTTTCTTTTTTTTTATGTGGAAAAGTTCATTTTTATTTAAAATTAATTTAACTATTAACTGTATTAACTATTTAGGCACGTCTTGCACGCAGTCCTCTCAAAGATAACAATGATTTTAAAAAAACAAAAGCATATAAAAGAAAACTTGCGGTACTTTGTCTTCTTTGGTTTATTTATTTTTATTTTTTGAATTTTAGTAGTTTGTTTCTTTTGCTTTCTATTACTAATAACAAATTTTATTAAGAAATTGAAAAAACCAATAAAAAAAATCACAGAATTCACATTCTATGTAGAATTGTCTTAAGTTAAGAAAGTATATAATAGATGGGTGTGTGCGTATATATCTACTATAGCATATATAGATATACACAAAAATGTCGACTTTTTCCTATACGGTTTTTCTGAAAAAGAATGGAAAAATGAACAAATGAAATAAACTTATTGCTGCCCAACCCAAACCCTAAGTAAATGTAGTAAGAACTTCCTTGCATGTAATTCTTTAGTTAGTCGTTGTATGTACTGAAGCCCTCGCAGCTCCCTAAATTAGTATGATGTAAGATTTCCATCTAAATGTGTTTTTAATGTTATATATATATGTGTGTGTGTGTGTGTGTGTGTGTGTGTGTGTGTGTGTGTGTGTGTGTGTGTGTGTGTGTGTGTTAGTGTGTGTGTGTAAATAGTAATATTGATAGTTTTAGTACAAAAATAAAACTGTTTTTAAATAAATCTGAAATTTATGGGTGTTAACAAATATAAACAATAAGAATCTATGAATAGTTTGAAAAAAAGTATACCCACATGTCTTCTTGTTTTTATTTTCTAAAAAATTTAGCACTCTTTCTTAATATATATTACGTTTTGTAAAAGTTGACAGATTTCTAAGAAAATGACATCTAAACAAGAAGCAGCAGAAAATGAGTTAATGAATTTTATTAAGCTTATCGTTCTTTAAAAAAGAAGTTCACTTGGACCACTTTAAAGTAAAAAATATTCTATCATCTCCAACCTAATCTCCAGCCTGCTTAAAATTGCTCTAATTAAGAGTTATAGGAAGTGGTTGTGTTGCCAGAAAAATAAATGCAAAAAAATTTAGTGCCTTAAAATCATGTTTGATTACCATAATGGAGTTTTCCATTATGGTACATTCGAAAATTTGAATGTAGCATAGCACTGAATAATTATTATTCTTTAAAATAAGACCAACATCAGTAAAAATATAAAATAACTGTAAAATTTTACCAGAAAATTCTTGTCTGCTTGGTGTAGTTAAGGCAATTTTAAAATATTATAGTGTTTGTATGATATTTTGTTGACTATGATATATTTCAGTTAAATGATCAGGTCTGTGAATTAAAAAAAGATGAAAAAAATTAAAATGATAAACTTAGGGGTCATAAAATATAAATGTTTGTAACAAAAAAACCCAGGCAGGATTCTTTTTTTTTTTTTTTAAATCTTAAAATCACAATTGTGCAAATTTGAATAAAATTTTGAGTAAATATGTTTTTTAGGTAAAATAAACATCATAGTTAAATAATATGATCATTTATTGGCAATTTTTCTTCATTATAAACTTTTTCTTTGTCAGAATTCTAGTATTTTTCAAGAAAATTAATAGAAGTGTTGTATTTTGACAACTGTATATAGTTAATATACATCAGAACCAATTAAAACTAGGATCTATAGTGGGTTAAGACACTTTTTCAAATGATTTTAACTAAATGCCAATGAGCAAAGTTGATCTAAAAATTTCAAAATGGTGTTCTTTAGATTCACTATTAGGGGTAGTAAAAAGGTTTTAAAAATTATATAAAAAAAAGAAAAGTTTTTTTAAATATTAAAAAAATCTGAAGCAAAAAAAATTGTAACATCTAAAGCTCTTGTTTGGACATAATGTGTTAATAAAATCATGCTAATTTCAAATAAACGAATTCGAATATTCTGTAAATTGCCTTAACTACACTGAGTGTTGTGAAAGGTGTCAAAACTGCACTTTGTCTCCAGCAGTCTTGCAGGAACAATTTCACTGATTTTTTATTGAACACCCCTTAGGATATATATGTGTGTGTATTTGTATATATGTATGAAAAATAGCTTTAACATACCTAGGCAACACTCCTTTGCTTATAAATGTCTGACCATTTTGAGGCACTTGAAAGATCAAGGGTTCAAAATCCACAAATATTAAAAGGTCTACTTAAAATCTTTACTTACAACTATCATAAAAAAGCTTGATTATCACTAGACACAAAAATACAAAAAAGTCTCATGGTCAGACAAATCTTGATTATGTCTGCACTCGAGTTGCCAATAAATGTGCATACAGAGGTCTAATGAGCAGAAAACAGCAAAAGGAAACCTAGAAATTATGGTATGGGGTTGTTTTTCTGCAGAAAGGTCTGGGAACATTGCATAAGGTTAACAGCGAAATTAAAATAAATTCTGGAAAATTTATCAAAATATTACAAGAATCTCCATTACCAACCTTAGAATAGTTAAATAATAATAAAATGGTTTTTTAACTGAATGCCCTATGTCTTAAATCCTGCCACTTTTTAAATTGGCTTGAAGAAAATAATGTTCCAAAAGTCCTACCCTTAATCTCACAGAAAATTTGTGGGATTATTCGATATAACCAAAAGATTGTTTTTTTTTTTTTTTAAACTTAAAAATAAATGTTTAATAATTTTAAAAAGTAAGTTAAAAATTTGTTTTCAAGGGATGTTTCTATTTACTATAGAGTCATTCCATATCAAATCAATCCCAAAAAAAAATTTTGGCACCATGTCATTTAAGATTTTGATGATTTTTGGAATACAAGCTTATATTGATGAAAGAAAACTTCACTCCAAATTTTAACATCTGACTCCTTACAGTTTCAGAGATATTGAGACTCAGTCCCAATCGCTTTTTTGATTATTTTTTTAGCGCCATTTATTTTCTAAGCTAATTACATAACACAATTAACTTATGAAATACTTGCTCTATAGTATTGAAAATTTTAAAAACTAACTATTTTTCAGGGAGAGGAACTCAAAAATGATACCTAAAACACTAAAAAATTAAAGCTTCTCTATGAAAAATCAATTTCAAAATGGCGCAACAGTTTTTATAAGTTTCTTGACGCCCTGTACAAAAAGAAGTATATCTTGAGATGACTAAAAGATTTGATTCTGAAAATTTTTCCAATGGTTTTGTATGTAACAAACTCCTTGAATCAAAAAAAATGCAGGGGTTTTCTTTTTTGAATCTGATTTATTTGCATTGAAAGTTTTATAAAAAAGTTAAGAAAAATTGTTATTTAATAATGAAAAATAATTATTCATTTTTTTTTTTTACATTTTTTCAAAAAGATTTTTTGGTACAGTTCTATTATATAAACTTGTTTGCATTTCACATTAAAGATCTTGTTTGCATTTCACATTAAAGATCATGTTTAATGGAGGGTTTTCTATTTACGACATTATTTTAGGGACAGGAATTCAAAAATGATGGTTTAAACACTAAAAAATTAAAGCTTCTATATGAAAATTTAATTTCAAAATAATGTAATACTTTTTGTATGTTTTTTAATATCCGGTACAAAAAATGTTTATCTTGAGATTCTTGAAAGATAGGACTATGAAATTTTTTTCTTACAATTAGCAATGATCAAATATTTCAAATTTAAAAAATTGCGAAAAAAAAGTAAAAAAATCTTATTTAAATCTTACTTGATATTTTCTTATAAATCAAATATAATCAATTAAATTGTAATAAATGTCGTAAAACAAAAAAACTGCAAAGGCAATTTATTTTTAGATCAGATTTATTTGCAGTTTTATAATTCTAAACCCCCACTAGTTTTTTAATTTCTTTAAAAAATCAGTGATGTATAAATGTTTTTCAATGTGAGAATGAACAGTAAGTTTTTGTAACTTATTTATTAGAGTATTAATGAAGCTACTTGTAATTTCTGTTAGACTTACTAGCTCTGATTGGTCTGTTGTCTTCCATTGTTTGTAATCTGTACAACAACCATTATCCTCATCAATATCTTTTGAGAGTAGAACTCATTTTCAAGATAATGTCTTAATATAGAATCTTCTGGACACAAAGGGCAACAATATATCATAGAATTCTTGTTATACCTACTACAAACAAGTATATAAATAATTTTATGATAAATCTTTGATAATTCAACTGCACTTATCATTAACTTAACATTTTGATGGTAGGTATGCATGCAGTATGAGTCACACACATACTGTATGCATACGAGATGCTCACACTGTAATGCACCATGGCGGTTTGCGCAAAAACAACTCTTTATATCAGGATTTAAACTTTAAACTTAGTATACAGTAAATAAGATATTTCCTTTCCTTTTTTTTTTTTTTTTGTTTCAGGGAAAGATAAAATACCATTTTTCAGCAGCAGTGATATCTGCACCATATAATTAGTAATATTAAGTTCTTTTTCTATACATTTGTTAGACCAAGGTATTGGAACCAGTAGTTATTGAATTTTCTGATTCCATTTGAAAGTTAACAATTTTTCTTTAATTTTTAAGGATCTTTATAGTCCTTGCAATACCTAACTTTAGAGTTTTTTGAACATGTAATGATTTCTTTTTACCAAGAGCAACTTTTGAGTGACTATTCACAGCATGCATTTTGAGAAGACTTATGTTCATAGCCGTCAAAAAAGAATTGGATTTCAGAAGTTCATTATCTTCATCTTCATAAATCTGGCTGCAAGTCGATTCTCTAGGTCCATCGTCCTTAAATGACATCAATTTAGTTATACATTATGGACATATCTTTTCTCCAGCAATAACATTAATACCAATGTTTTTCAATATCCCAGCAAGTTGTTTATTAATTTCTTTACAACCTCCTAAAAATATGAGTGATAATTACTAATTCAGTGAGTATTTTGCAAAAAAATCTAGTATATATAATTAAAATAAAGTTTAAAAAAAAGCTTTATGGTTAAGTAATAATACCTTTTCTTCTTTTTCCATCGTATGAATTAAATGGATCATAGCAAGTTATGTGGATTGTAATGTAATGTAATGATGTAATGTAATTAATGTAATTAGTGTTTTTAATGTAATCAATGTTTTAAGTAATGTTTTAAGTAAAAATACTCATGGAAGCAAACCATTG